ATCTATGGTTATAAAACTAACTAAAATGTAAAAATTAGAAACTTCTTAGATAAGATAACAAAAATAATAATAATTATAATTCTTCATGAGCAGCTTGTACATTACATAATTGGTATGGTAGTGTGAACTATGCATTTGCCGAATTACTTGCAACTTGTGTGATAGGATTATTAGTTGGACATGATTTAGAGGGCAATAGAATAATAAAATAAAGTATAAACAATTATAGTTTTCTCTTACCATCTGCAGTCATTTTAGAAAGAAAAAAGGGTAACTTAGATATAAATCATATTTTTTATACAGAGTTAGGATAGAGAAAATAACAGATAAAATATAAGGTTTTACTAAAAAAAATTTTGATATTTGTTTAAGTGATTTTTAAGGCATAAATTTTCAGATAATCTTGACATGAAAATCACTTTGTGCTTGAAGCATTCAGCACTCTGATTCCATATGTTCATGGACAAGTCTTAAGTAGAAATTTGGTGCTACTGTAGCATGCTGTCTACAAAGATATTTACACTGTGGCATGCAGTCTACACAGATATTATCATCATCACCATGGACTTGGTCAATTTGACCAACCTTGTAACCACCATAAAAATATGAACATCACCTTACATTCTGACTTGTTCAAAGTCTGAGTCAATACAGATATTTCTATATTGTATTTAATTTTTTATGTACTGCAGTATTAGATAATAAGATAATTTTTGAAGTACTTCTTGGTGATCTTTGTTTAGGTACCTGATGACTATATGTGGGTCCAGGATATACTGGCACATTATTTGCAAGTCTCAGCATGTAACTGTGTTTCATCTGTTGTATGAGGCACTACCCCAAAGTCCCAGCAATTTAAGCTTTCTGAAGCTTGAACAACCATCAATAAAAATCAAATAATACCAATCAGCTAAATTTGGTAGTTTCTGACATATACATGTAGAACATGACACAAGTCCTTTAACATTGTCATAAATGTGTCCTAGGAATTCATGTAACCATTGTTGACAGAAGGATCTTTTATATTTTTTTTCATGTTCCTTTGAACTACATTTTGGTTTATGGTCTTTTATATTGTTTTCTGTCAGATGTAAGTCCAAATTTTAACAAACTCATGATTATTTAAAATTGAATTACTTCATATAGAACTGTAAAGTAAGTGATAAAACAGGACTGCCACATATTGTGAGTATGGTCACCACTTAACAAATATAATAATTTGAGCCCTTCAAGTGAAACGCAAATTTATATTTCTTCTCATATCTGTCATAGTGTATGGTGAGAACTGTGAAGAAATTGGATGGTCTACTATTCTAATACTGTACTTCCATTTTATCTCACTGAGAGGAGAAAAAAATGTGTTTAAACTATTGTTGTAAGCCCACAGAAAACTTTAACCTACCATTAAACAGATACATGTTATATTATATGTGCTTGGAATTATTTACTTTCCCTGGGTAAGCATTTAATGTCAAGCCCTGTCTCATTAAAAGTGTGTGAGGGTGTGATAATAGAGATAAGGCTATAAGAATGCTAAAGGTAGAACTGAGCATTTAGAGGAATTTGATAATCTTTTTATCATTGGGCTCAGTAATCGATTACGTTCAACTAATCGATTATTTTCACATGAGACTTGGGTAGTTGGAATAATTGAAAATAGTG